GCCAGAAATACCAACCTATATAAGCAATTCGATTGGATGTTTTCATCTTTTTGTCATTGTTTGTGTTTGTGTTGTTCTCTTTCATTTTGTTTTTTGAGGCAAAGTTTCATTATATAGCCCATGCTAGTCTGGAGTGCTGGGATTACAGGTGTGAGCCATGATGCCCAAGTCTTAATTGGACTTAGTTCACAATGTGATTCTGACCCCACTAAGAACCATACTCCTACCCAATTCTGCTAAGCCTAATGGCATTTTCCTTTGGGGTAGGGCTTTCCACCTCTATGACTTCCATGAAGAAGTCATCTACCAAGAAAGGGCCACTGTATGCTTCCGTTTCCTTGTGTGTTTAATGGGGATAGTAATAGTCTCCACTTCTTAAGATTTGGGTTCAAGTAAAGTGGGTATAGGGACTCTGAATCGCATCTTATATGCAGTACACCAGCTCAAAGTCCTTGGTTGAGCAGTGCTGTTATCCAGGTGGGATTGCTTTCCTCTTTCAGAGCGGTGGACACTTACAGCCTATGGATGGAAGCGGCAGCATACACTCAGCATGGATGGGTCAGGAGGTGACTTCTTCATTCTCACATGGCCCTGTGAGCTAAGGGTGGGGTTATCTTCATTTTTATCTGTGTGTCTTACAGCTGAAAGCCTTTCCCAGCCAGTAGGGCAAAGCAGAAAAATCTGGACAACCTCAGAATCTCAGCTCTTACCTGCCATGTAGCCCTTTGGAACAAGTGCCCAGCAGGTAACTTGTAGATGTTCTCACACTGACATTCCAGAAATGACTTTCCAAAGCACACTCCTATCTCTGCTCCCCTAGTTCTGAAGTTACAGGTGTGTGCTGCTGTGTTCCACTTCAGGAAATTGGAGTTGGGGATCCAAACTCATGATATTTGCATGGTTTTCTCTGTGACTGAAATCATCCATTTTGGAGGGAAACTTCTTAAGACAGGACACTTTCAGGCAGGTGAAGCAATGGGATGTTCTTAGGGGTAGTGAAATACTGCAGGGAAGCTCCTTAAGACAGGAAGTAAACAATTCAAAATAGCTTCAGGAAGCTCCTGAAACTGACTAGATTTGCTAGGATCCTCTTTCTTCCAGGTCTCCCAGAATAAACAGTCAAGTCTACTAAGAGTCTTTTTCAAACAAGCCAACCTACAAAGAAGACTAAGACAAGCCCAACCACCTAGAAAAAGCAGAGGCTAGACCAGAAGTCTAGAGGAAACAGACTAGATGAGCTGCCATGGAGAGGCTAAGACCAACTGAGCCACCTGGAAAGGATATTCTCCAACCTGTTGAACGGCCTGCAGGCTTTGCAGTGTGCTCCAGGTTCCCAGGTTTGTAGGCTGTCACCCATCCAAGGGTCGGCTTTGGTGATACAGGCTGTCCTTGAGTTATTTCTGCTTTTGTAAATAACCCCTCACCCATCTTCCTATACGTGACCCTAATGAAACTCATTGGTTCACAAAGTTGGACTTTGCTGGTATCTTTGCTGTGGTCAATTGTGAACTTCCTATCCAAGGTGAGTAGACATGTATGTTGCATTTCCCCAGGAAATGTTGGTCTCTCGTCACTTGGCAAGCACTTTACTACTGAGCCATTTCCCTAGCCCCAGAAATATGGGAGGTTTTTCTTGTTTGTTTGCCAAACTTTCTGAGTAATTCCTGTATAGTTCTCCCAGTATGTGAATTCAGGGGCTATCCTAAACCAGGGCTGAGTTGTTCATTGACTTTCTGGAATCCCTCTAAGGAGACAGATCCCCTTACCTAACCTAGTTCCTTTCATCTGGCACTGGCTACCCCAAGCAGAGCTCAAATCTGTGTAACAAAAACTTAGGTTATTAGATTCTAGTCAACAGCAAGAACTCGTTTGTTCCAGTTTGTTCTACTCTGAGTTGTTACCCACAATTTCCTGAGGCTAGGCTACAGCTCCCAACCCACTTACACAGTATTAATCCCCTTCTTAGAATGAGGCCAAACCACACACATTCAGTCCTTCTGAGTGATTGGCTCAGAGCTGAGTCTGGGTCACCAAACCACATGACCGCCTGGTAGGCTAAAAGTGTACCCTACGGAAAGTCCCCAACCATTTCTCCTCATATTACATTATGATTGGATGGGACTCAGGAACTGTCTTTTTGTGGTTTTCCCTTTAAAACTGGCTACTAATCCCTCCTCAGGGACGCAGTCTGGAGCCTGAACCCTGCCACCTCCCTGATATCAGTTTTTCTAAATAAATTTTTGGCTTGCTCAAACCCAGTCTTTTGTGGTGGATTATTCCCGGATTCTCAACCCTAACAATGTGAACTCCATTCTTTAATTTTAATTAACCTTATTTAGCCCCCAAACTTTCCAGACGCTTGGAAAACCTCCTTTATCTTCCAGCTTCAGAATTCTGTCTCCACAGAAGCCTCTGCCTGCCTCATCTATTAAATGACCTACAGTTATGAACAATAGAAAGATAAATCTGTTTCATTCAATGGAAACATTTACCCAATGAGTCTGAGTCATCAAAGCCTCAGAAAATTTGACACATTCATTAATTTTGTTCAAATTTATTTGTTAACCCAGAAATTGGGAACTATACAAGCTCAGAAGCCTGTGCCTTTTACATGAAGATGTATTTGCTGGAATGAGCATTCCCTTCCACACAGGGATTTGCAAAGTAATTTCACTAAGGAAAGTAAGAAAGAGCTTGGGTGTCTATGACTTGGCTGAATCCTGATTTATGGAGCACCTGTAAGGGGCGAAGTACCCCCAGGGTCACGGGCTGTGATGATGGACCAGATGCAGAGTGTGCCTTGTGGGGGTTTATGTCTAGGAAAGGAAGCAAATAGGAAAAGCTGCAAGGAAGCAAAGGATGCAAGGCATTTCATGACACCACTTCCCCATCCCTCGATCACGGCATGAGCTTCAGGCTGCAGAGCCACCCATGAACCCACCAGGACTCCTTATGGCATGGGAGTTGACAGACAAGATGAGCCACCATAGCGAAGCAGGTTATTTCGTTACTCTGGTTACATGATTTACTCAGGGGTGCTCACATGGCTCAAGTTGATCCAATGAGATTCAATCCATGGGTCATACTAAAATGATGTTGAAATAGAACCTTCCTTCCTAAAGTTGCTGGGCGGTGGAGATGCCATCCTGAAAACCCCAAAGCCTCCTATCAAGATGAGAATTCTAAAAATAAAGGCAATAAAATGCAAAAGAGAGAGCCCAGAGGGACGTCTGAGTCCTTGGACCCATCTGTGCCTTAAAAATGATGATTGTGTATGTGAAGAATTTTGTGTTTCAAGGGCTCAGAATTTGGTTTTTCTGTGACGTGTGTTCAGTGGCTGCATCCAGGTGGAGGTTACTGAGAGGTTTTCCTGAGATGCGGGCCCAAGAACAGGTGCAGTCATCTTGGGCTAGAGTTGGGTCTGAAGATAAAGCAAGCACAGGGGCATGGACCACCACTCTGCAGGCTTGTCAGTAGGTGGTCTCTGTCAGCAACCTCCTCCACCTGCCGCACACCGGAATTGTTGTAGCTCAGTGACTGCGGGCTCATGTCTTCCAGAGACAGTGCTCTCAGAGAGAACTGTGCTCCTTTCCTTTTCTGCCTTCAGAATCTGTGTACTCAGTAGTTGCTTAATGGGTGTTTCCTGGGTCAGATGCTATCGTGTTCTTGAGCAACAGGCTAAATTGAGTCACAGAAGATAGCCACCCCGTGGTTATGAAAACCTCACTTTGATGTGAGGAAAATGTCAGCTAGGCCTCCAGTTTGATCCAAAGAAAGCTAAGAATCATCTGTGCTTCTAAAAACACTTTTCCCCAGGGCCCCAAATGATGGCAGCAGTAATCCTCCAAGATGCAGTTCCAGCATGATTTTTTTTTCTCATAACCTCTCTTACACTTTCATCAGAATCACCACTGCTACTGAAAGGCATGTTTAGTACTGAAAGACCCCCTCATCCTCGGCATGTGGTACACATGTGCTTATACAAGACCCCATGTGGATCAGCATGATACATGCATTTTATTGTTTGGTAAGCCCAGGATCTGAGTTTGGTGAACCTCAGCAACATGTGTGTTTTATTGCTTGGTAATCCTGGGATTGGAATTTTATCAGCCTCACCCTCTAATTTCCATTCATTGTGCTGCAGCTTCTGCTAGAGTCATGTGTGTGACATGAAGGAAGCTTGTATTAGGAGGGCATGATGGCAAATTAATGTGGAAGACACACAGTACAGCACTGCTTCTCTAGCTCAAATGTCTGAGCCTCATACTCGGCCTTCTTTTTCAGATGTTTTGTAGCCAGCATGGTTCCATTCATGCAAGTGAGAAGAATGCTGTCTTTGTCCTTTGATATCTGGATATGAAAATGTTAAAAACAACAACAACAACAACAAAACACTTAAAAGTCGGGCAGTGCTGGAACACGCCTTTAATCCCAGCACTCAGAAGGCAGAGGCAGGTGGATCTCTATGAGTTCAAGGCCAGCAGGTCTACAGAGTGAGTTCCAGGACAGCCAGAGCTGTTACACGGAGAAACCCTGTCTCAAAAACAAACAAACAAACAAAAAACAGAAAGGAAGGAAGAAGAAAACTTACTTTCTATCCTGTCCTCTGTGCACCATTAATCTGATAGCTTTAGTTGGGTTTTGAGTTCATATCAGAAATCTGGCTTAGCATGACTGAGTCTCTGGGTTTTATAGTGAACACTACAAAAATAGATGGATATAAAATGATTAAGTACTTAATAAACATACATAAGTAGTGGATGAATAAATGAGCCAATAAATACATGAAGTGCAGTTGAATACTACATAGTAGCATTTGGAAAGGGAACCCAACTGGGAGGTATGTCACCTTCAGGTCCGAATGACTGAGTGAATGAATGATTCTACTATACAAAACTACTCCAAAACTTCTGTCCCCTGCACTGACAGGTCATGAAGTGGTGAGGTGGTTTCCTTAGCCCTATGCTGACCCGGTATTCTGTGTCAAGTAGATGGTTTACCTGTGCTGGAGCTGCATTATCTCTACCAGCAGTTTCTCATTTTGTTTCTCATGAATGGATGGTGCAGCTGAAACATGATTAACACCTAAAAATGGAGATTACTGTGAACACCCTTCATGTTAATGTGGACCCAGATGACATATTGCTCCAAGAGCAAGAAGACAACACTTAATGGTACTGTCCAGCTTGTGTCCTGATGTCAGTGTTCACCAAAGAAACTTTCAAGGTATGATGGGTCTAAGTTACTTGAAAGGAAGTGCCCAGCATTGAACACATCATGTATTACAGCACCAGTTGCTCAGGGCACAGCACAAAAATGTCTGGAATACAAAACTGGCCCTGGTTGCATTGAGACTAGGTTGAGGTTAAGATACCAATTGAGGTTCTAATATGATCCTGACTCCCTTAAGGATCACAAGTCAGTATTGATACCACAATAAAATCTTTGCTCTGATGTCTGTCATCAGCACTTGAATCCTTCTTGTGAGTCAAAACTATTCATATATAGGGTTTGCCTGGCTCAAAGCTGATACCTACATGTGGTTCAGGATTTATTCAGGTTAGATAAAGCCTAGACTCAGAAGAATGTACTGAATGGCCAACAAACCCTTGGTGTTAGGATGTGCCAAGGTTTGGGTTGAGGCTGTAGTTTGGGATCCTGGCTCCATGTAGATAAAGTTGTCTGGGCTTAGAGGAAGATCTAGTCACCAATAGAACCTTTGCAGTTAAGGTCATCTGAGGCTACTTATGGCCATGGAGTGGTCCTAACATAACTCAGTGTCTCCCATATACCTTTCAAATCAGGATGACTCTTTGCTGTTTCTGGGATTTCCCTGGCTCCGTTGTGATTAGAGTTCAACCAAGAACTAACTTAGTGCCCTGCTAAAAGGACTCCTTGAACAGGTCAACTCATGAACCAGGAAGCAGCCCCCAGAAGACACTGAAACTGCCATGGTCTTGATCTTGGACTTCCAGAAACTCACAGCCCTCAGAACTGTGAAAAAAAGCAATTCCTGTTGATGAGAAGCCACTGGCCTAGAGTATGCTCTTATTGAAGCCCAGGTGGGCTCAGATAGTCCTGCGACCAAAAATCATTGGAGAGACTTAAATTCCAGGCAAAGAGTACTGAAGGAAAGGACCACTCCAGAGCAGCTTGTCCAAGCAAAGAACACCAGGACTCTGTGCCCCCATGGCCACTATGGGGCTGAGGAATGACTATCGATGTGCTTCAGTTCTTTTAGGAACTGAACGCAGGAGACAGGAGGCAGTTTCATGTGGATATTTCAGTGTGTGCTCTCTAGGATAGGAATATTAACAATATGCACGTGTTGGTGGATTGATCATGAAGGCTCTAGAGTCAAGACATGGGCCTCTGGGGAGATGTTCAGGTTCTCATTACGGACTGCTGTCGTTGTTGTAAGGCCTGTTGGAGTGAATTTACCCCTGCTGCTGTGTAGTAACATGGTGCTTACCTCTCACCTCTGTGTCACCATGTGAGAGGACACATGTAGCAAGGTATCTGAGAAACCAGATGCCAGCGTCTTGTTCTTTATCATTCCAGCTATAGAACTGAGAAGTTAGTTTTTTGTTGTTGATTTTGCTGTCTATGAGATGAGTCTCTGTTGAAACGTACTGTGGTGGTATTGTGTTCCCCAAAATATTGTGTACTCTAATAAATTTATCTGGGGTCAGAGAACAGACAGCCACTAGATACAAAGGCTAGAAAATGGTGGCACTCACACCTTTAATCCTAGCATTCCAGAGATAGAAATCCCTCTGGATCTCTGTGAGTTCAAGG